CCATTACCTGCCGATCGGCAGTTTATATACACAAGGAAGAGTAAATAAAACATTAGAAATTACCCGTGGACGTCCACTGCAGCTTTAGCGTAACAAAGCGGCTTTTACGCTCACGTCTTAATTACTCTACTTTTATCTGATAAGAATGATGAGCCCTCTGTATAGCTAGCGCATTGATCCGGGTTTTGCAATTAAACCCTAGTTATTATCAGTATTATTATTATTATTTTTTAGCTTAGCTAAAAATTACTAAACAATGCTGCTACATTTAGCATTGTGCCTAGCAGCTGATTCTGACTCTGTGGTCGTCACCGCATCAAACGTATCCGCTATGTCTAATCGAGATAGACAACATCCACTAGGAACACGACTGACTGTACACCTAAATATAAATACAATCTTGTGTATAATAATGGTCATAGTGTTTCTCATCGTTATTATTCGTGTTTTTTTTTGATAAACACAGTCATATGATATTTTTCGCAATAAAAATAAACACTATTACTACCAGACTTGCAAGAGAAGAAACAAATTTAAAGCGCGCTTTGGATACCATCGAACAATACACGCACGTTTACATGACTGAGCGGAATATAATGACCAACATAATCGAAGATCCTGATCTAAGCAAGATAGTTACAGAATTGAGAAACGGGTAATAAAAGCCCCGGAGTTTTGTTGTGACGTGTACGTTATGAACCAGAATATAGCCGCTGCTATGCCTCGATGAATGTCTACCTGTCACGCGAAAGCTCCGCAAATCAAAACTCCATTGCCACCGCTAGCTGGTCTAGGAACTGTGTAGGCCGCAATTTGTTCAATCATAGGAAAAAAAGGAAAATCCTTACTTACGTAAGATTGTAGTCTGCTGGACTGAGTAGAGAAAGCAAATATTGAGGATCCGTTACGATTAAATAGAGAAATTCTTGCTTTATTTAGACTTCGGAAACAGGCGTTGATTGCTGTAATTCTAGGTCGATTCCTCAGCTCTACCGCGCTTGCTTAGATAGGAGTTAACATTGTAACCAGATTTCCTGTACTAGGGAAACATGGCCACTGGCGTTGCCGCAGTCCTACGAGAGCGTGCTGCTTGTACTTGCTTTACTCACCATCACAAAAGCAGTTATTAGGTCAGTCCAGTAGAAAAGATGTCCTAAGTGAACTTTGTTTATGAAAACTGGTCGAACCCTCCTTTCAGGATTGATTGACTATAAACAAATCCTGCAAATCCTATTGGTAAGAATTTGCCTCGCTTACCCATTTATTTTTCTCAGCTAACAAAACGCCATATTATCTACAAGCTTTTTTTGTGTCGTTAGCGCATAAAATAGGTAAACTAACTTGTAACCCAGTTTACCGGAGGCTAACCAATGTAGCTCTTCCTAATGATCTAAAATAGTCGAATAATCGTGTAGGACGGGGAGTTTTTATAGTATATTCATTTAGAAATAGCAGAACGCTCAACTTAGCTTTTGCGGACAGGGTTTAAAACGATACACGAAGTAAACCAGCTACTCAAAATTAACCTTCTTCACCAGAACGCCTTTTGTTCTGTTCCCATTTTGATTACATCTTGTGTTTCTCTCTAAAATACGGACTGATACAGATGACCAGCGGGAGCATCCGGACGAAAGAGCACTTAGTACAATTTATGGTTTAACTTAATAATAGTAAAAAAATAATACTTTTCAATTGAACGATTTGCATGGCCATCAGCCGTGGTAGGATTTGTTCCTTCCGAGGTCACTGTCAAGGTCTAACCCATCGATAACCATAATTTAGTACAATCTTTTTCTATAGATCATACTACATAGATAATACGATCTATTGGGCTTAGGCGTTCAATACCTTCGCATGTGGTTGATGATTGAAAGTTGTCCTCGATCTCGAAATTACAGACATGCCCTTCCACATGTTCCTATCCTGTCAAGTCACGGTTTAGCAAGTTTAAAACCGATTAGCGGATTGATGGTGCGTGTAAAGAGTTCGGTGAAGTGAGGAGGGTGAGAAGAGACTGTTCGGGGGGCAGAGGGTGTCGGGGGGCACGGCGACGGATTTCTAACCGGACTAAATAATCAATCTCCTAAAATAAATATGGACATTACTCCACAGAGGCGAGTTTCCAGCTGCACACTCAGTAGAATTTCGCAAACAGAATAAAGTCACTCAATATAAATATTAAAACCTTTGTTTTTCAGCTTTACTATTTGATTCTACTTCTCTTCTAAACTGACAGGTGTTGTAGGAAAATTACATTTTCGAAAGTATTTTACTAATAATAAAAAAAAAACACTAAGAATCGTGTATATTTCCTTTTCTATAGGAACATATCCTTTCGTGGCTCTTTGTCGATTGATTTAACAATACGCAAGACGTCCACTCCTTTCGGCAGACAATGACTATCTACTGCAACGATGCAAAAACACATCGTGAAGTAATCCTATGCGCGTATTCGGTAGATTCTACAAGATAATTTTGCTACACTTGGTTTCGACGTAATATGACTTCGCTGTTTCGTTAAATAAATCTATTGTCGTAGAAAAAATCAATTGGAACCTGACTAGTAGTGAAAAATTTACTGGTCCTATAATAATCTCTTGGCCCAAAAACTCAAAATCCACACGAATTTTATAGCATCATTTGCAACCGAATGGGTTTTTTTAAATCAAATGCCCATAGCATGACCGAACACGTGACTTCAGCAAAACTGTTTGGCCACCGCCTTGCTTTTAAGTAAATGTGTTGAAGTAAATATAATGTGCCTCGTCTCATTTCTAAGCTATTAGCGCATGCCTTTTGTACCTGAGTATACGATACTATTGAGGAATGGCGTTCGAGTATAGTCCAGCGAGCCCGAAATCGTAGCCCCCTCGACTGGGATAAATGTATGTAGGGTTTGCCATCATTTTTAGATAACTGAGCAAATTCAAATACGTCCTAGTCCGATTCGTACTCGGAATCCTGGCTGTCTTCAAACATTCTCCAAGGATGACTGTGAATAAAGGACACTAAACTTGTGGGGATACTGCGTTCAAGCACGCCTCGTGGTAGGCCACGACATTTCATAGATGCGAAACAACGTAGAGGAGGCACCTTGGAACCGGGGACGTCCATGTTGAGCAGAGCTCGCTGCTCTTTATTTAGGTCCATTCTACAGCAAATTCGTGCTACCAGCTCTTGTCTAAGCTCTTCTGACACCTTATGATTGTCCTTCAATAGAAAATATAGCGTGCTGACTCGCTGGCCAGGCGGAGCCATCAGGCTGGCGTTGAACCTTACCAGTGACAGGATGATTGATTCAATTGATTCATTTGAAAAATCGGAATCATACATGACAGCGATAATACGTAAACTTTCATTACGTCGCTCAATAATCTTGTTAACCTGTGCATCCAACTCGGTAACGGTCATTCGGAAAATCGCTCGCTCTAAACCCTCGCGAACTTCTTCTCTTAGCACTCCATCTTCAACGGCCTCTTGGAAACAGTCGTATAACAGGGGCAAAAGAGTTACCGGTGGATGTTGGATTTCCCATAAGATCGAAATGCAATACTGGTAGAAGCTTGACAGAAACGCTATCATCTCCCTGTGGCGTGTTGCAGCATCAGTCGATGGTAAGAAAGCGTTTGTATTGAGGATAAACGACTTTATCAAAAGCAGCTCATTTAAGTCGTTGACGTATTCTTCTTGAAACAGCCACGAAGTTAGTGCCTCTAGTGGATAGTGGTGTTTGGAAGCGACTAGGATGATCTGCCAAGCAGTCTCAACGTAATTGTGTTCAGATATCTGCTGTTCTAAACGGTCGATATCCTCAACCGATTCGAACAGTCTTCTCGATCCGACGACCAGGCGTCCTTCAGCGTTCACTTCCGGGCCTTGTCTGAATCGCAAGGACTCCCGAAAATATTGGAGCTTTACAACTGGCATGTTGGTATGAAAGTGGCGTGAAACTTCACATATTTCTAGCGCGTCTGCCAGTCGCTTTCGTTCTGTGGCGTTTGTCGTTAGCTCATAGTTCAATTCTGCGAGTCTTAAGGGTCTCGAATTGACTAAATGTGCCGCTAGGTATATTTCATCAAAGGTAAATTTGACAAAGTTCCGTAGAACCTCGATATGCTCAGAGGTTAGCAACGGAATGAGTTGTATTGGTGGCGGCATTTGATTTCGACCAAATTTCACAAGTGGTTCAAGTAAACGAAGCAGACGTGTCTTTTCACAACGAAGTATAGCCCACAGGCAAAATGCTCTCGGTGGCACAGGAAGTCCGACAGCCGCAAGGTACCAGAGTACGTTTGGTTCAGGACTTTCTTTTCTCAGAACTGAGCACATTGGAGACATGAAATTCGCGTCTGAGGAGATCTGCGCCGCCGGTAGCTCGTTGAGTCTTAAGTTGTCTATTGCGTAGCAAATCTCATTAATGCTTCCTTGTAAACATATGATTGAAAGAAGTTTACAGCCTTGATCGTTTGAAAGGAAATATGCATGACGATCTTTGGCAGGAATTTGTTGAAGGACAATCTTAAGGTCATGTTGAAGTTGGCCGCGTTCATTCACGTGTTTCCAGAGATCGCCGTATTCCTTTAATTTGTTTCGAGATTGCTTTTCGAAACGAGATCGTTTATTGGAAAGTGCAACGGCACAAAGGTCGCCCGTGTGAAAGGCCATTTTAATCGAAACTCACAAAAATTCGATGGTTTACGCTGGCCGCACCTTGACGAACGTTCGAAAGACACGAGTACAGTAAAAACATTAAAGGAAACATTAAATGTGGAGGCCTGCGTTGTGCAAAAAGCGGTAAGCACATACGCACGACATAACTGACCGACCATCTTCATCGTGCCACCATAATGCACGTTTAGATAATAGAACATGTACACCACAGTCTGCTTTTTCGCATGCTGATCGATCCGGGTACGTATGATGTTGGCTGAAAAACGTCCACGTAAGCAGCAGCACCACACTGCCCGAGCCATTGCTGCTGCTGCTGCTACAATGGCCGCACCAGCACGAACCAGACATTGGAGCGTAGTCAAGCTGATATTTGCCACGGTACCGAATAACAAACTTCCTAATAGTTTCTATGAGTTCTAACCATAGATTAGAGGCTTCATGCGCGCGATCGGTCAAGGTGTGCTTATAGTTGAACTAGGGATGATAGACAAGTTAACAAATAAAAAATATTCGTGTTTGTTGAAACAGTTGAAAAAAAAAGTGTTACTACTGCGCATTACTAGTCCTTAGTAAGGCGCCAACAACACAAATTATTCATACGTGTTGCGTAATCATTGTTAAATGGTCCCTGAATATGTGTATGCGTGTGGTTTTTCAAAAGAACTTTAACAAGAAGAACACAGCGAGATAGAAGAACGTACAGAGGACCTTCTTGTGATACCCGAAGAGCGTGTTTGTCGCTTTGTCTGTGCGTCTTAATGAGACAGGTTCTACTGTTCTCAGATTAACAAAACTGATCGCCATCCTCGGGCTGCAAATACAAGTGTATTACTGATTGTGTTGTTAGTTACCAGGCAGTACAATCGCGTATCATTGGCTAGTAGGCTCATATGACAGAATTAGAGTCGGAGCTGTCAATATTTCTATGGAACTATGACCGAAAGAGATGTGATTTTGCATACTGCTACAATGCGTTGGCCGTCACTAATGTTTGTGGTCATATTTACAGTGCTGAGATCATTACAGCCAACAGCATAAAGTTTTACGTAGAGTGAGCATCGAACGTTTACGTGTTTTTTTTGGGAGTCGAAAAGCTGAAAAGTTGCGCGTGAATATTCTATGTCTAAAGACGCGACATGTATCAAGCCCTCTTATTGAATAATGAGCCAAGTTCACTACATTTTTCCTCCCCTCGAAGACAGAGTAAGACAATGTCCCGGCAGAAGGACTTCAATAAAGGCACTCTATTAGCCTTATCACTCAGAAGATATCAAGATGTCAATGTAAGTTACACACGCTATTCGGGTAACAACGCTAATACTAAACGTGCGTCAATACGTAAAAGTCTGCTGGGTTCATGTCTCAAAGCAGAGAGAAAAGTTTCGTAGACGAGCTGCTTAGAAGTATGAGGGAACCGCTAAGTTTTCGAATGTTGCCATAGCTAACAATGAAACTTCTGATGAGTGCTAACTATTTAACGACCGATTAATAGCTCTAAATGCAATTCGTAGTAACAGTAAAAGCAGTTTAAAAGCTGAATCCAGGTTATCTCTGCTGGAGAGCTGATTAAGGGGACGAATATATAGACAAAGACAAAGAAAATCGCCAGATTCGAATTAATGAGGAGACAACTCAGAATTTATCTATCTATTTGATAGGCTTTCGGTTGCAGCAAGTTACAGTTGCCAGCACTGTAGAAAACCAAAGATGCCGAAAATAAGGCCTGATTTTGAGGCGTTCCAACCGTGGAGACCTTTGCTTCTTGACAGCTTCTAAAACTCGTTAAAAATATCAACAATAGTAGCGGCTATTTACAATTGGCAATATTTTCCAAATAAATATAAAGAGTACTGGAAACTTGAGGGGAGTGTTGTGGGCAGTTTAACAGGCCAGATCGTTCATCTTGATTTCACACATGAACTACATTCAATCGCGGTGCAGACGCTCTACCGGAGAAGCTTCGGCAACATATGAGTCGCCGAAAATGTGCATATGCGGCCTACTTGGCAGGTTTTTGCTCAATTATCTGACCTTTGTCAACCCTTGATAGGCTAAGCACCTGTGTCGACAACATCAGCGCATTCTCTAACGAAACATTACCACAATTATTATTATTCTATGCTATCGCAATGTCTATTAAAGGATACTGAATATCTAGTTTCATGCAATGAAGAGGCTGTATTAGATACACAATTCAATAGTACTCGGTTAGGGGCAATGTTGACACAACTTGGAAGATAGACTAGAAATAAGGCACTAATATGACGAAAATAACAGGTAACAAAAACGCTAGACTTTATATCTTCAGGCGTACAAAAAGTCGTTCGTTTCACCGTCCGATGCAACAATATATTGCTCATCCGCGTAGACGCAGCACACAAAGTCCTCGAACAGGCAGAGTCCAAATTTACAAAGTTCTACTCGTAACTCGGACCATATGCTTACTGCTTCATCGGAAGATGGTGATTCTCAGAAAATGCGTGTCCTGCATTCGAAAGGCACCAACGATATACGTGTCGGACAAATATGCCGCCGAAAGAATCGAGCCTATGGATGTGAATGGGGGCTTTCGCTGCCACACTGCCAGAATAAGTGGGTTTAATGTGACATCTACAAAGGGAAACGTTTTTCGATAATGCACTAAAAAAAAAACTACTGACACCAATAGTGCAATGATTTATCTTTAAACAGTGAGAAGTTCAGTGTGAACATATAGGACAGCAGCACATAGACACGGTAACACCGAACAATGCAGTACGCCGTAACGCTACGAATTACAAACACGTATCCTCTGGTTGTCAGCGGAAAGCAAATAGATCCTGTGAAGGATTTTGCAAAAGTCAGGACAAACAACGCTTTTTGTCATTTGTCGGTTGAATCATAAGCAGCGTCTTGGATTTGAGGCAAGGCGTGTTCCCTTCCAATATTCCTAAGAATTGCGCGGTTCGTAAGCTCGTGCTGAATAGCCATCTACATCAAACGAGACCAATACGTCAAAACATTGGGCGTTGTCTGCGTAACAAACGGTCAACTAATAGCCGATCACATCAACCGCGACGTATTTGACGCTATCGATTACTGATCGGTAGAGGTATTTTACGGGAGATATTGCATATGAGTTCTACCTTCTCATCATCTGTGCCCTCATTCGTAATAAACACCATTTTTCCTTTGCAGCTACAACGTTTCTAGAAGTTTGTCATTCGAAGTCCAATATTACGCGCGTTATGTTACCGGCTAACTATTTGACTAGATTAATATATGGTATAGATAACAGCTATATATTAGAATGGAAAACATTACTGTAATTATTATTCTTACAGACCCAAAGTGAGAGCAAATACGTGTAGTTCCTATATGTATGCGTGTGATCTTTTGGAATAAGCTTAATCGAACGGCCCTTCGACGAATTGCGCCGTACTAGTGCCCCTTGTCACTTTCAAACGGCATAGCTATTACGTTGCGTGCAGATCTCAACGAGACTAGTTCGGGGAACACATCTCAAACTGGGATGATTGACTGCCATCCTCACTGTGTCCTCGTAGTGCAAATGCATTGATACAAAGATATGGTTTAAAGTGTTGTCAGCTATTAGAAAGTGCAATCTTCGCACACACAAAAAATAACTTTTTATCTATAGATAATAACTGGTAAAAGTGTCAAGTTGGTCCAAATTTTTCCAAATGGTCAATCGGATCACTCCCTGGAAAGTCAGACATTCTGTACCGGAAATAGAGTTGTAACTAAAAACCCTAACTGCTATTGCTCAATAATAGAATATGAAAAATATTCGACTAAAAAGAAGCGGCCACATTGATTCCAGCGTCGTTACGCAACAAAATATCTAAGTCGTCCTTCGTTAATCCCATAACTTAGTTTATTGACATAAGTAGGTAGAGTTCACCCTCAAAATTTAATGACACTTAAAGAATCTATAGTAGAGTAGACCCGTTATTGGGAGTTCGAACAGGCTAAAATTTGTGTTGGTCAAAGACTGCTCATTTTTCCTTGGACCTCACACGATGTCCTCGTTGCCTACGAAAGGAATCTAAAACCTATATCCGAGGTATCCTATATGATCCGAGTCATTAACAGAAGCGAGCTTACGATGCTAATAAGGCCAGTGAGAGTTTAATGTAGTTGTGGTTATTTCATGGGAACGCTTGCTCCTTCTGCAACCCGAGGGGCCATTAGTAAGGCGGTGTAAACGTCACCACGAACATGTCCTCCTCTCTTTAGAAAATAGACAGAGAAGAGGCGTTTTCGTCCAGTCAATTTGATCAACGGTCTGCTGATTCACCCGTGCTCCAACGGCAACTCTGGCCGAAACTAAATTAACGTAATCAAGGTTAGCCCCTTGATCAATTTACTTCGCCCAGCTTCTAACCTCAATCTCTAAGAGATAATGTCGGAGAACCGAACATGTAGATCATCAACAATAGTTTGACGGTGTGTGCAAGGAAAGCCTATCCAACGAAGATTATTAATAGGTCAAGCAAAAACGGAGATAGAAATAGTTAACAACAGACGTGGCCAACAAACGGATCTTCGACGATATGCGTAAATAACCACATTAACACCTGCTCAAGTGATCATGAAGCATATGTATTTAACGAGATCTATAACACATGAAGATATCATCACTTGAAGATATCAGTTCAATAGGTTCACAGGGAGCAAAATAACTGATAATTGATATTTTCGTAAATCTAGAGATAAATGCACTGAAATTTTCTAACCATTGTCAAAAATACTCACTACATGGTTTACTCTCATTCGTAGTATTTTATTTCCTAAATAACAACTTTATCCACCTGACATCAGCCGAACATCATCGCTGCCGTTTATAGGTGTTTTTAAAGACACCTAGAAAAAAACCCAACAGAATCGAAGGATAAATCGCAGGTGAAAGTTAAATGAAGAACTCTCGTTCCTTCTATAATAGCATGTGAGTGGTCATCTAATAAACCGATGCTTTTTACGAAAGAGCAAATCTGGGTCACAAGCATTTTTTGGCGCGACCGGGGGTTAATAATCTACTATGCTGACACAACGTCGGAAACTTGAAAGGATACTTCTGTTTTGGAGTACTTTTTTTATCTTGTTATAAACCTTGAGCATAGATCAGGTCTCTATACTTATTGCCAACTCCACATGCTAAGAATACGGTAGATGAATGAAAGAGAACGAGGTTCTCGAAAACCTGAGGCGGGCATTCTGGGCTCATCCGTTTCTTTTTTTGGTGAATAGTGTATTTTAAATGGAAATCAAATGACGACCATGGGACGGATACGAGGAATACAGCTGTCCGCTAAGGTATGTAAATTTTACGTATCGCCTTCTGCAAATTAATGGACAAGACATGACGCCATACCAGGTTTAGCTTTTTTGAAGCTCACACCACCTGGGATTTTGTGTGATGCTGTCTTACATCGAGCTCGAGTCTCTCAGCACCAGTACTAAGTTATATCCTCTATATGCGTATGAACTTCCTAACTTTTATCCTCATAATTGTTTGCTTGCTTTAAGCGACACAAGCCCTTTCAGGGATGGGCCATAAGTTTACCCAGTCTGGTTTTTCCGTAACATCAGCTCACTTCCCTTTGTCAAGGTCCCTAGAGTAGCCAACTGATTTTTTAATTTGGCGTGGCAATTTCCCTAAAGCTTACCCCTTCCACCTCGATACGTACAGTTTTACCTTCTTTAGTTAAAAACAAACTACACGCATTTAAATATTGTAAATCTATATTTTTTCATTATTACATATTTCTCAATACATTCTTCCTTATTATATATTCATCAACACATTAATTATTATTTATTGAGAGATTTATCGACAAACCTATACGCCATGACCTCATCACATATTATACATTTCTCTGATACATTTATACTTATTATTTTACATTTGTCGATACATTTCTCATTACATTCGAGGCCGCTTAAACTTGCTAAGGTTCTTCCTTTTGACTTCTTCTTCCCTTTGCAGTTAAAATGTTTGACGCTTCGTTGAACTGCTGTTCTTCGTGGAAATCGATAGAGTAATTAGCGATTTACAGGATTTGTTCCATAAGAGAAGATTCAAAAGAGGCAGATGGACATTTGACAAAATGCCTTAGAAATGTGTCAAAATAATTAGAAAAAGCTTCGCCGGTGCGGACGCATCAGCTGATCGATTTTTCCGCAGGTAATTTTCTTCCGAAACCAGCACTTGACACGACACAGATGCGACTGAACGATCACGGCAACCGATGGTATTGGACCATTGATGTCAAGAGGGCATGGATAATGGCCAACGACATTAACTACCTTGGCAGACCGTTTTTGAGGTTGTTTCGAGGATAGCGCGAATATTCGTCTGCAGCTAGGCGAGGACGAAAGATAAGCCTCGAATGGGAGACATTTACGTTCAATCAGGCCCACTAGTCTAATGTTCGATCCATTCGATCGTCGAGCAATTAACTTTTCATAGATCGGTTTGACCCGATCATTACGAATGGTCTTCAGTAGATTGATAAGAGTACTCTTTATTCGGCCAGGGAGCATCATCAGACCCAACTCGCGGCGTAGCAGAGATCGACTATGCTGGATCGGTACAATGCGCGTGTGACAACGTACTTATGAATAGACATTGTTTTATCTAGTCAACTTATGCGTCTAAACTTAGAGCAGGAGATCCTCATTTAGCAAACCGCATGAGGAATACCCGATTACAAAGTTATTATGCAACATAATAACTCTGTGTCGGGTACCGGCAACAGCCATGAATATGGAAAGAAATAGGGAGTGGGAGATGACAAAAAGATCATCTTTGCGGCGATGCCGGACGCTACATATGAACTCAAGGCGTTTCGCGGGACTAAGTGATTCGCCAGGAACGGCAGCGCATCAGGTAGGAACGATTTCCTATCAGCCAAATTCAGTTAGATTTTTCACACATTGTAATGGGAGAGAATCTACTTAACTTTTAGATTCGCTGTAGAAAATACCGAAAATCTGAGTCTGGAGGCAGCAAATAGAGTCACATAGTTCCAACGTGATCATCTGTAGCCATCTGCAGCTCTAACTTAGTTAATTCGCAGTTTATCCGTAGGAAATATGGTTGGCTAGAAAATTTTATCTGGGCCCTACTCATTCATTGATGCGTGGGCTGATATGGGCTTATCGGGGTATGATGCCAGTCTGATACAAGCGCCTTAAATTATCAATGTCTAATTATGAATAATTAAAGCCTTGTCTGTTTGACAAGCTTACCCAGTTATTTGTACGTTCCCAACTTTGATCGAGATGAACTACATGGGAACGGGAAAAGCTTACTTTATCCATCAAATAATATTCCGACCGACACGAAAGCACAGGCGGCTATTCATTTGAAAGCGATTGCTTAATTTTCAGCCGCTATATTAATGTTATATTAATATATAGGTTTAGCGCTCTTCGTCCGCGTGTCGATCGGCTGTGTATCGGCATCGGTTTGTGTTACGATCTGTTTTGTATTGAAAGACTGATCCGAATTGTCCACGTTGGAAGAACGAAAGTCTATCGTGGTTACTGCTTTTAACATATGTTCTAACTTAGAATTGGCCAATAAAAACTTCCAGGTCTTATTAACGACAATTCGCTTACTTAAGCGATTAATGCCTCCAGTGAATTTAAATGGTTTTTATTAACTGCAAGCAGGACATCCGGTGGGCGCTTTCTGGACGGAACCTCGTAGACTTTCAAGGACACCTCGGTTCCCGGAATTTGTCTGTGCCGAAGGTAGCATATGACCCTTCACATCTGCAACTATATTCCGGCTGAATGTGGTTTAGTAGGCTGCAGCCTCGGTCTAGACCTTGCTCAGGATGTGTGGATGGAAAATACTGTGAATTGGATTCTGACAACATGTTAATGATCGTTATATGAACGGGATTCGAAAAAATGTTTAAATAAATATGTGTACATTCACCAACAAGAATCTTTGGCTTCGAAAGGGTGACGGCCTTAAACGGTTTTCAATACATAAAACCTGTTCGGTTATCCACTTGAAAAGAAAATGAGTAGTTAGAATGAGATTAATCCTAGACCTAGATAAGCACCCGATGTCTAGCAGGATCCTATCTAGTCGCAATACTCGATTCAGGTCCTGACTTCCTACTTAGAAAAAAAGACCTGCATCCTAACGGGCATCACGCCGTAAACCGTATTGAACTTCCGTGACGATTTACCGCGTAGCCAATCGTTCGACAACGTTTACGTTCAAAAAAAGCCTTCGGTGCAAACTGATCGTTGTTGTTCCGGCTTCGTCTCCATGCAAAAGCTGCATGTGTTTGTTTGCCTCTCTGCTAATTGAGTGTACGGGCTGGCGATGAGTGCTGCCGATGGGTCGCGTGCTGGTCTAACCATTGAAATAAACCTAGTAAGCGCTTTTGACAGCTGTATAAGTCATCCAATTATTGGCCATAGGCGAACGCAAACGAACTAAATAGCTACCAAGATTCTTGACACACGTTATACAGCTGAGCTTCTACGGGAGGTTCGAGGGAAAAGCGGAGTTCGCCTGAGAGCTACACAGTCCAGGGGGTGGTCATTCATGTAAAGGCAAGATGGTGCTGCTTCCGATGGCGCTGTAGTTTAACTGCGTTTCAATCTGCGCTTGTGCCTGACGAAATAACACATCGCGTGACAAGGACTAGTGGCCACAATATGTCCATATGTGAAAATATTCGTGTACTCTTAAAGCATTTTATACGTATACGTGAGCGCAATACTTCCGAGCGTGCTAAAATTGCAAAGTTCAAATTTCCGAGCGCGAACTGTGACCACATGTACACCAGTGTACTGTCTTATTTATTTGTACATTACTCTATGCGTATTATTTCGGAAGACAGCGTCGTCGGCCAGCCATCTTTGTGGCTGAAGCAAGCGTTTTAGTTACCATTGAGCGACTATAGCTAGCTGCCATTAGGCATCCTTAGTAGTGTTTTCCAATAGCTTTTTTTCCCCATAGCTTTTCTACTGAAACAGATGTGATGATTCTATCTAGAATTATTGGCTAAAAGAGGACGTTGCGAGGAAACTCCCTGAAATCTCGAGGGATATCTGGTACTTGGATCCACTATGAGTGAACGTAAGCTTCTTCAAATAGAATTCATAAGGGTCATGCGACGCAAAGGTTGGAGTAGACTACGGTACTGAGAAAAAAGCGGTTAAACCCTACAGAATAGGCACTGGCAGATATGTCTCATTTACACAGACGGGCGAATATATATTTCGACTACAGCAGCCATTGTAGCTTTTAAAGTAGCTGGGGTCTCTATTTGACTCGTGTATCATTGTAGTTTTTTCATCTAAAGGCAAATGGAATCGATACTGTGTTGAGGCAACGGATACATTAATGCGGTCTATTGCCAAGTAAATTGTATCTATCAGATAAAGAAACCAATTGAAATATTGAGTTTAAAAGTTTAAAGGGTAATTAAAAAATGACTATTTGTTTAACACTTCTTTAACTTTAGAAAAATGGTCAAGTTCTTCTATATCGATGTTACACCAAAGTAAATTAAATGCGTTCATTGGACATGCAGGTAATAATTAAAAGCATTCAATAATTAGGAACAACCAGCGAGTCTTGCAGTACCTGACATATAATCTTAAACGTAATCATCTATATTTACAATGATTTATGTTCCATTAACTTCAACTATAGTGTTTGTCCCATTAATTATCCCGATAGCCACCGGTAACAACAGTCATTTTAGCTTACCTTTGTAGCTTACCTAAAAAATAGTACAGAGTTGAACAACAGTTCCCGTAGTAACTGGCATATGTACACTGAAGAAGTTATCCTTTCATATGGCTTCGTGATTATTGTAGATTTTCTAATGGCCCCCAGCTAATTCCGATTCCTAGCTATCGTTCCCATTATTTCAGCTTACTTCCTTATTCGCTAGTCTAGCAGTCATTACCTTATCTGATTCAGGTACACAACTTGTAGATTCGTCGTGCCGTGAACCTGGGTTTACTTGTACGTGCGTCAACGAAGCACGTGCACTTTTCTGGTATTTGCTTCGATCGAGCACCGTTCCCGCAAAATATCTATTCAGATGCATTTATGTAATTGCGGCGGGTGGTTGGTTGATCGTTGAATGAATTTGCTGTACGCCACAAACTGGCGCCCAACTTAAATTATTAGAAAGCGGGCGGCGCTAAGTATGCCGCCCACTTAGAGTCATCTCTCTCCATCTCTCTCTCTCTCTCTCCCTCTCGAGTGAGCACGAAAATGCTAGTTGCTAATGGGAATAGCCTGTTACAATATCGAGGCCTCAGGGCGAGTTGTCTGAAGGTGACCAAATGCAGCCTGAGGCCGTCAAATGAAGGATAGCGACTAGCACAGGCTAGACCGCCGACGACGTAAACAACAACAACAACAAATACCTAAGCGGATTTCATGAATAAACATATATTTCTGTGCGTACATGTATCGCACCACTTTCCCACCCACTTTTCCGGCTGGACCGCGTTTCTCGACGCAGACGCCGTCCTGTATTTCTCCCGATTGCAGCTTCTTTAGCCCAGGAGAATACCTCTGCGGATTCAGCTACACTCCTGACTTTCGAAACCTCCGCACCTGCTAGTTCCCGCATGCGAGGCTTTGAAAACCCTGGGCCTCTTTGGGCAAGCGCGTCGGATAATAAACGAAGTCGTGTTTCACAAACACTTAGCCGTAGCAGCTTGTGCTCTCCGGTGCTAAGTGCGTCACGTACGGTGATTTTCAGAGCCTTCAATGTGTTTTGGTAAGCGGACAAGTAGAGCCCAAGATTACGGGATACAGTGCGAAATCGGTGCGCTAAAAAGAATCCGAAAGGCGGCGCTACCGTCTGGACAAAGAGAGGAGAGCGTTATATGTCTTCAATGGCTTTGCCTTAATAAATGCCTGCTTATTTACGCTTATCTACATTTATGAGCTATTCATGGCTTAACAACAAAAATAAAGTGGATGGTACATGTCGTTAGATGCAAATTGCAAAAAAAAAAAAAGAGTTGTCATTCCAGTAAATATGCAGGCAATAACAATGATTTAATGCTGAGCTTCTGTGAGAACAAAAGATACATACTAATATGGTAGGAATACAGAAGGGATCATGAGTTCATATAGACATGCATCTCTCCTTTTGTTTGGCGTGTAGTAAACGTTAGAGACTTAATTCTTTTCTCTCATTACTTCAAGATAATCCTAGATTAGAAGTTTAGTATTCACAAAATATTGGCTGCAGACATAACCGTAAACCAACTATTTTCTTTGAACGGTTTCAAGATTTCATCAAATATGTATAGAATTCAGTATCCTAGTTTTGTCGTTGCACCGTGACGCCCACTTATTTTCTTATAAGCAGGCCTCACGGTGCAACATGCGTCTAACGGGTAACATAGTTGAGTTTAGTACATGTTATTGAAATCAACCGTTTTGCGTTTGTAGTTTTCCATGTTAGTGGCACCAAACAACGCATATAGTGCGCGGATATATTTTTATCTATTAAAAAATGGAAGAAAAGCGATCCGTTTTCCTCAGTCCACCATATATAATACGTTATATGCACACAGTGAACGCTGTAATAAAAGCTAATATGACTGTCGTAGAATGCGTATGCCAACGACAGGTCTTTCCAGGGCTTCGAAAATAGGAGCAAACTGGCAATTTTTTTTTGTAAAGTGCAAAACGCGGTTCTACTCTATATTTGCTCACCGGCCGTAAACGGCCGTCTGGTGTCTTGAAAGCTCCGTTAGTCGACGAATAAAAGGACCGCCCCCCAAAAAAATATGCTTCCATACGTGCTATTTTGTTAGATAAAGAGAACGACGACATATGCTCGTGTAACAGGTGGGACAATTATTAACGTAAGCTTTGCATTAAATTAAATCAAATTATAGAGCCTTTTGACCTGAAACAAAGAGTCGACGTTATTCACGCTTTCGTGGATGATTACGTAAGGCAATCAAGCTGACCGTACCGTACGATCTACGATCTAGAAATGCAGTTTACTATCTTCCAATGAAGCAGTAAATCAGCCGAAATTGTTTCAGTGAAACTGATCTAGCTGCCGTCGGTTGCGGCGGCGTTCGTGTATTTAGTAGGTGTATAAAGTAGGTGTATCGATCGATGGCCTGGAAAAGGCTAAACCGTATTTCGCTTATATTAGACGATTTAAGACGAAGCAGCTTCTAAACTTATAATAACCAGCTGCAAATGTTTTATCGTAGATCGGTTGATCGGTGTAGATATCGAGCCGCTTCATCTTTCGTCGTTGTTTTAGATACAGCGGACGCGTACGTTTTTAGGCAAAACAATTGAAATCTCTATTATGCTGTCATAAATGTGAAGCTAATGAGTTTAGTCCGTCCGAGAAGGGCTTTAGTGCGGTATAACCGAGCCAGCAAAGTAGAAGGCCTAACTCCTATTTTTTTTTGTTGTAATAATAATTTTTATTCGTATGCGCTTTAGGGACATTTTGTACAAGTAGATTAAGTGATCGAATGGGCCTACGTGCGTGCACGGAGAGCACAATTGCTTTCCGCCCAATCTAGGCTGACTTCTCAAACAGGCATAGAAGGACTTGATAGGGAGAGTTACATTAGTATCAGCTTAAACAACTGCTAACATCTGACAGGATGACTGATCATTGGAAAATATCAGAACAGGTGCATTAATACAGGACTCCGTTCGCGTTCGCGCATCGGCTGGTAATGCTGAGTAGATAACTTAAGTTTGGAGCCAAAAAACAGTCTCAGGTACTCAAAAAGATGATGGATGTGATTTGTTATAGAAAGTAATACCGCCAGCAACTGGATATTACCCTGCTAATATTCAGCCAGCGCCATATTGGTTTGGTCAAAA